TGCACAAACTTATCTCGTGGCCTCATTGGTCATGTGCGTGTTCGTGTGTGTTGGAGGGGCTCCATAAGGAAGTGGCAGATTTTGTTCGGTTGTGTATTTTCAAATTCTAGCGCACTCAAGCCGGTTTCTCCATTCTAGTGGGTTGAATGGTTTGAGAAGTTTCTATGGATGATTAAAGCTTTCAGAATCCATTAGAACTGTTTTGAGAACCGACTAACTTCCTCTGCGATCTGCTGTGAGGAAGCAGCTTTCAGAGCCAACAGAGAATAAGTATTTGTTGTCAAAAGTTACATTTAGTATTGCCTAAAATGTTGTTCTAATGCTTGCTAACAGCACTTGTATTAATATAAATGTGTTTTCCAGATGAATTTGGATGATGGGCAGATAAAGAAGGGACGAGGTACCAGGACACAGAAGCTCTTTCCTACGATCTCCAAGGGGATTGTCCTGAGGTGCTAAATAAAAACTCATAAACCTGTGCACACAATATGCACACAATACACAAATCAACACATTTGCAGAGTAAACTAAAGCTTCTGCTGGCAGCTCCAGAGGAGTTTATTATTGGCTGCGTGCTGCAGAGAGATAACCGAACGATGAAAGATTTTAAATGAGCCTCGAGAAAATTAGAAATTGAGGGCGAGAGTGCTGGTAGTAATGAAATGGTACTGAGAGAGAGAGAGGGAGAGGAGGAGGAGGAGGAGAAGGGATGAATGGGGCAGAAGAGAGTTGAGGGAAGCATACAGGGGAAATGAAAAAGGCCAGAGAGCTGCATTTTAGAAATAGAAATGGTGTGCTGCATTTACAGTGACAGAAGGAAAGAAGAGAGGGAGGCAGAAATAGTATTTCTGCAGAGAAATGGGCCCGATAAGATGTAGCACACATGCATGCTTACTGGACTATCATCCATAATACAGCAAATATTTTATCGGTGCTACTTGCATGTTTATTGGTCTGATCGGCTTCCCGCTGCAGCCTATTTAGCACTCAGCAGTCTAGCACACTGCGACGTTAAGTGCTGGCTTTAAGCTTAATTTTAGGGTTTCACATCCGTCTCTTTTTCGTAAACACCCGCCCAGCCCCCAATTTTAGCACAACGCAGCAGGATAAAGGTACTTTCCATACATAACAGGCAACCAAGGACAAACACTAACAAGAAAACAACCATAGCATTTCTGTCAAGGTTAAACAAGGAGGTTGATTTGTTATGGATGTTTTTTCTTGATAGGATTGGCTACTGCTATCTTATTTACAACCTTTGTTTTTGACTGATTGCTCGTGTTTTTTGCCCTGTAGGACTTATTTTTAACAATGTTGCTTTTCCACAGATCTCATCCCAGATCTTACAGCAACATAACCCTGAGTATGCCCTGATCTCAGAGGCGTATGATGAGGTCGGCCATGTTCAGTACTTGGATGGGATACTGGAAGCTAGTGAGTACAATCGTATTATTGCAAATAAAGGAAAAGGCTCATAACTACTGAAATGTGTCCTTTTTGTAATAAATAATAGTATCCCTTTAAATATTAAGGTAGTATATCCGAGTTTCAGATGCCTTTTGGGAGAGTGTCTATAAATAGGGATTCATTTCCACACTGTGGATCTGATGTGTATTCAAACACTCCTTGGTTGCCTCTTTTACAGTAATTAAACGTTATTAAGTACATATAATCCAGTACTGTACTTGATTACCATTTGGAGGTACACAACTTAAATATTTAAGATTTTACTGACAAAACATGTGATTCGTTTATAAAGTGTGATACTCAATACTGCAATAGTTGGAACCATCCAACAGGATGTTAAGTAGTTCAAATGTGCCCCACTTCCACCAACATTTTGAAAATCTTTTTAGAATGTTGGATTCAATTAAGGATTTGTACTTGTAACAAAGCATTTGTACATAGCAACTTAGATGCAAGTACTTGCAGTTTTAATGGTTAAGACAGTAATCCATGCCTTTGTCACCAATCGGCTGGATTACTGTAACTCTCTCTACATGGGGGTCAGTGTGTCCTCCCTCGCTCGTCTGCAGCGGGAGCAAAATGCCGCAGCAAGGCTTTTAACTGGCACACGGAAATATGACCACATTTCCCCCAATACATTTTAGGTATCATTTCAAAATCCTTTTATTTACTTTTAAATCCCTAAATGGCATGACCCCACCATATCTTTCTGAGCTGCTACACCCTTACACGCCCAACCGCCCTCTCAGGTCAGCGGATCAACTGATCCTGAACGTGCTCAGAACCAAGTCAAAGCTCAGAGGGGGCCGTTGCTTCTCTGTAGCGGGTCCCACACTGTGGAACGATCTGCCCCTGCACATCAGACAGGCCGCCACACTGTGGAACGATCTGCCCCTGCACATCAGACAGGCCGCCACACTGCCTGCTTTTAAATCGCTTCTTAAAACCCACCTCTTCTCCTTAGCGTATTAGCATCTTTTAGAGCGTTGCTTTTATTGGTTTTAAATTTTCTATTGTTTTTACTTGTACTTGTTTTATGGTGTGTGAGCTGAGTTATTTTTTGTATGTTTTGTTTATTTGACTGTACAGCACCTTGGTCTGGAGGTTTAAAGTGCTCTATAAATAAAGCTGTATTGTATTGTATTATTAACAGGAAAAACTTCAAATTATAGAGTATAATCACTTCGACTAGTCATGGCTACAGAGCCAACATAACAAAACAATGTGTGACTGCCAAAACACTAACAGACTGTTTCTCTCCTGCAGAGCGACTGTTGTGACTCCAGGCAAACAATGAAAGCCGAAACAAGGTACAGTGAGAAGTTTCCTATTCCACTCTGTATCTGTGGTGTTTTAGTTTAAAACAATGAAACATTGTGGATTGCATCGCCTCACAGCTCATATGTATTCAGCCTTCCAGGATGCGTTTACTAGAAAATTGAAATGTGTGTGCCGTTATTCTAAATGTCCCTTTACTGTAGATGCGATGGCAGTGTGTATTAACTGCTGTCAGAGTGTGAGTCTACTTCAAAGCGACTCATTCTGTGGTAGAGAGCTGATTTGACCGTCTACTGTATTCATCTACACCTCACACAACCAACAGACACCTCACACACTAGCTCACACAAATACGTTTTTAGCACTTCAAAGTACATGCATACAATCTGCTACCTCACACCGACAGTAGAGACCAACACACACATACGGTTACCAACCCCATTATTGTCAATCCTGAGCACACACAAACAAGTCATATATAAAACAATTGCCTCACCTCCAGATATTGTTATTTGACAAACAGACGGAAATAAATGAAAAGTGTGTGCATGACTGAATGTGCTAAAGGGACAGATATACTGTAGAGGGAGAAGAGGACATGTGCCCCTGATATACGTACAGTAAAGTAAAGTGAGCATAAATACTGGGCTGAAGATCAAATGTACATACTGTACAAATCACAATTTAAATCTCAATTATGGCCAGAGAAATTACTGCTAAATATTCTCCTTACTTTATTAAGCCCATACAATTTTGTCCTAAACCCATCATATCCAAAGGCTACAAATGCTCTCTTGTTTTTGTAAAGCACTTAAAGTTGTCACTTATACTAGAAAAGCTGCCAAATCGACCATAAATCAATTACACTCATTTCACGTTCACAACACCCTGTGAGCCTCAACACACTATTAGTATTCTTAGCATTTTGCTTTCCTTTGAATACATCACAAATTAAACTCTCAGGAGTCTCGTGGCAGACGGCTCGGAGGTGACCATTTTTTTTGTTTGTTTTTTTAAGCAGTTCAGTAGAGATTTATCAGGAGCCCCCGCTGAGAGGGACAAAACCCGCCCAACCGCCCAGGCTCACAGTCTGCCATGGCTTCACGCATAATGTATGACTAATCCCCTACTGGCCTGACAGAGAAAGGAGGACTGCAGCGGGTGAGAAAGATGGGAGACGGCAGCAGGGAGAAGGGAGAGTTCAGGTAATGCAGCTGGGGGTGGAGGGTGAGGAGGAATAGAATGCTATCATCGAGTTTGGGTCATTTACATCTCCTTGGCCAATGGCCATTATGCAAAGGCTCATACTGTAGAGGAAGATGTTTTACACGGAGAGGGAAAAACAGACCTACTGTCTCTGCACACATTTGCACCACAAACTTTAAGAATTATAGCAGATCTGTTAAAGGGACAGTTTGTCTGCCTTCTCTGTTTTACCATAGGAACTATTGTATTTTTAACTACACCACCATATCCTATCACTGCACAGAGACAAAGCGTGCATCTACGTATTTAGGATGTAGTTTGATAGAAAGAAAGTAATTCCTACATGAAACCGCTCTCAACAAGGTCTGTGGATTATCCTATGTTACTGGTTTGTGATTTAAGGAAATATACATTGCTTTTTTTAATGTATTTTTTGCGCTTTTTGAACCACAAGCAAAGTGCCATGTAGATTTATAACATTACAGTGAAGGCAGGGCTCTATAGGGTTGATATATCCAGCACTAGGCAACGCACACCATAACAATGGACGAATAACACTAGGGGTTATAGGAATAACATATTTTGGCAGTGATAGTCCATGTAAGCTGCTGCCCTACTACCTTCTGTGTCAAACCCACTATCTGTATATTCCCTATAGAATAAGGTAGCTTAAATGCAAATCTGAGACAGCAATTTCTATTAGCTTAGTCGCTACATTCAAGTCAACAGAACATATCTGAACCTAGCTCACCCTCGTTGCCTTCCCCAAACCCAGGACATACAACAGGTGTACTGAATACTATAAACCACACCCATGTAACAATTGCCAAATGTGTGCTGTGTAAGCAATAAAAAAAAATAAACAAAGGCTAACTAAGCTTGTTGGCTCCTACAATTAGTATAAGTCATACCTACAAAAACAACACCCCCAAAACGTTTGGGGGTTAACTTTGACCACCTATGAGTATTATGTGAGGATAAAAGTAATGAGATTCCTTATCAGTTCGTAGGTATTGTTGTTGCTACTGGCAAGACACAATCCTTTTTCTCTAAAGTTCTGCAAGAGACAGGAAACAAAAAGTGTTCCTCTATGTTCCTTCCAGGAATCCCTACAGTACTCTAGGGAAATAATGATTCATTTGAATAAAAAACAAGAAATGACAGAGCATGAATTAGGAAAGACAGAAGCTGGAAAGCAGAAATAAAAAGCAGACAGGCATAAGGAGGAGAAAGCGTATACTTACTGAGCACGTAGAGGGAGAGAGCGAGGCCCGCCAAGCAGAAACCCTCAAAGAAGCGCAAGGTGCTGAACATGGTGACGTTTACAGAGAACGCAACACTCACACCAAACCCCAGCATGAAAAGCACCGAGATAATCAACACCGGGTGTCGACCAAACCTTAGAAACAGAGAGAAGCAAGAAAAAGACAGATGTAGCAAAGTGTTTCAAATCTGTCACAAACTGAGAAAAAAATAAGCTTTTATTGTGAAAGGGATCACCCCCCTCATTGTTAGCTTCAGATGCTGCCGACATCCTGCTTCAAGGGGGGTCAGTAGGTCAATGGGTCAGGTCAGAGCTGAGGCCTGTTAGGGCAGCACATTTCTTTACATTGTTTCCATGGTTACTGATCCCAATCACAATGCAAGGCCTTTTTTTCCCACGAGGCATCTCGGGGGGTTCACAGGCCTTCAGACAGGGCCTCAATAAATGTAACGGACATCGTGCCTTGAAGGGTCAGATCATTAAATGACAAATAAACATATTTGTTCAGCGCAGATAGATTGGGTTTTGATTATACTTGTGTAGCGATTTAGTTTTTGATGCTCCAATTTAAAAACAAATGATTTGGTAGCAACATGTCTGAAGACAATATTCTGGTAACTCTTGGATGTTTCTTTCATACATTTTTCAAACAAATAAATGTTTCCTGTTGATAGTGACAACAAGTAAGGGAAAGAAGGTTTAGTATAAGAATACACTTTTTTGCATGAGGTCTATTGTTGCCATTAACATTTTGAGGCCACACTAGTAGAAACATTACGTGTCTTTAGGGGTGGCACTGTAAGTCAGCCAATTCATCCACACTGTCAACCAAAATCAGTCGGATTGCCATTACATTTGATGCAGATATTCAGGGTCCCAAGAGGAAAACTCCTTTGTTTCTCTTGACATTTCCTCTACAACCATCAGCAGCTTCAGTTAAATATATCCACATCTACAAAAAATATTGGCACAAAACGTTTCAGTTAAGAGTTAAATGTCTCAGTAACAATTGTTAAGATTTTTAGGACATTTGGTAGAGACCTTCATGTCCACCAGAGGATAAATCAAAATTACTGATGTTTCCATGATTTTAAATCTAGCATCAGGTAGAGGTTTTCATTTGAATAATACCTTCTTTTATGAACAAACACTTACTAAACTGATGACAATATGGTGAACATGGAAAGCCTGTTAGCACTGTTATTGTTAGAATGCTAATGTTAGCATTTAGCTCTACGGACCACTGTATGAAAAGACAGCATCACAGACAAGCTAGGGTTGTTAACGTATAGCGCATAACAAAACTTAATTCACCACCATTGTTTTGTTCTGAAAGTATTAATCTAAACCTACGTAAACAAAACAAGCTATCTGCAAGGGCGATGAATACCAGTAAAGGTAAGTGACTTTTTTTCTTCTTCTGTAATTCAGTTGAATGGGTGTTTTAAGGTTAACTATCAGATTCTGTATAAAGGCACAACAAATACATAAAAAGGTAGCTTACCAGTCAGCCATGACACCCATCACTAGGTAGCCAAATATGGAGCCCACCAGCAAAGAGAACTTGGCAATGTGCACCTTCCAGGCTGAGTCACACACCAGGTTCCACTGAAACAAGAGACAAACGCAGAGAGAGAGGAACATTTGGCAACTTTTCAGAGAAAACCACCCACAACCTGATAAAAGGGAATTAAACATCACCATCGGAGCACAGGAAAACAAAGAAATGTGGGGTTTTCTCTTTCGAGTCTGTCAAACTCTCTGACTCAGTGTTTTGATAATTCATGAATGTTGATAATTGTGCAAACGTGCTGCTTTTGGAATATTCAAATGTGCATCTTGAAATAAAGAAGCAAGCGCGTGAGAGAAAGAGCAGCTGGTTTGTGAATGTGGGCGCATGTCTATAACACAAATCATGGCTTTGAACTCTTGCCTTTAAAGCACATGGGTCAGTGAATACACCGCCACAGTTCTCAGGATCTGAAACTCAGCCAGGGACACATGTGGAAGCATGATGTGTGCTCCATGTTTACAACCCCGAGAGCATCAGTAAGAGCACAGCAGAGCGATTCAGTTGTGTGTCAAATAGTGTTGGTGTTTAATAGCGAGTTACACAACTCTAGCTGAGCTTCCCACTGAGCAGGGGAGCAAAGGAGGAGATGATTATTGGATATGACTGATGGTTTTTGTTGTGAAATGGCCGGTGGTGATGTGGAGAACTCAGCCAGTATGGGTTTATTAAGTACGGGCTATTAGCACCAGTGTTATCTGAGACAACAGATAGCAGTCATGCACACAGGCTGCGTGATCACTCAACAACTCTGTAGAATAGTCACCTAAAGTGATGACCATAACGTTTTTATAATTAAACATACTGTGTTCTTGAAAAGTTTATATCTTACACTTGGGCTAGTATTTGTTTACAGGTTGTTTATAATTGCTTGCTTCTGTAACTAGCGAGGGCTCATATCGATGATTTACAACAGTTGAACAACGTAGTAACGCCATTCACCCCCTGTATCCTGTTTCAGTTGTTTAGGAGTAAATAAGGCACATGGAAAGAATGCACAAAAGCACAGCTGCATTTAATAAAAGTAGATAACAACAGTGCAAGTTGTAATTTTTACAAAATGTCTATTTCATTAAAGTGACTATTAACATTTGGAAACATTGCTCAACAGGACATCAATGTCATTTTATTGATAGTCTACAGGCGAGTACTGCACCCCCTCAACCCAGGAGCGCTGCTAGGTTCTGTTTAAAGATTAAGAAATAAAAGTGTATTGACCGTAACAGACCTGAATGTACTCTATTTTAAACAAACAATTTATCAGGAATCCTATTTTTTTTTAAAGGATAATGGAATCAGTATTGGTAAAATCTCATCAAATCCCATTCGTTTACAAGCCAATGGAAAGATTAACCTGCTAGGGCTTCACGGGGCTTCCACTCTCTACAACATATATGCAACATTAGCAAACATTTGAAATAATAAAGGTTTATAAACTAGATTTTGACACAGGGACCCTTTTTAAAACATGAATTTACTTTGGTTATAGGGCATGAAGGTCCTTATTATGTCAGTGCTTTAGTGTGGGGAATTCCAAATAAACTCAGTTATTTAACACAAACCAGCTACATTTGGAGCTATCAGGGTTCCTGGAGTTCTGAGCAAAGATGCACTGATCCTTAGATTGGTATGTTGGCCATATTAAAGATGGTTCCTTTCAATGCCATTATAAACGTCAGTTTTTTTACTAACATTCACTTAGTCATGAAAGAAAACACATCGTATTAAAAGCTGTATCGGTCTACTCCTGGTTCTCTGGCTGTCGACAGTCGCCCACCTTGCCAAGTTGCTAATCCAGCCTTGCACAATTTAAATGCTATGTGTAATGTAATGCGTGCGAATGTAACCCTGTGCATTGCACTTAACAGGAGTTGGATCTCTACATGTATTTTGGTTATAGTTTCCCATATTGTGATGTTGAAATGTTGAAAATAGTGTAATACATAACGTGATACTAATTTCAACCAAATCACCCAGCCAAACACACACACACACACACACACACACACACACACACACACACACACACACACACACACACACACACACACACACACACACATTGAGGTCAGTGGGTAACTTGTCAATAAGCTGTTGGTGCATCAGCCTCTGCTGTGAACTGAGTGGCAGTGATGAAGATGAGGATGAAGAGCAGAGAGCTGTCTTCTCTGCCAGATAACACTGTGGCTCTATCTCAGTCGTTACCTTGGTAACCACATTCTGACTAAGTCCCGTCTGCAGCTCGAGCCTCCACTCCTTGCACGCGCACAGCATACCGTTGCTGTCGCCCAGACCCTCCCCGGTGCCGTTGCCTTTGAGTTGCCACGCGGGCGCGCCGCCGGGGACGGTGACCGGCGGGGGTCCCGCGGTCCAGTTGGTCTCGTTGGTGAGAGGTTGCAAGCACGTGACATGGGGCTGAGCCAGGAGGAAATAATCCGAAAACTGGCTAAAGCCGATGAACAATGCCGGGATCCAGGTCAGGACCACGAGCTGCTTCTGATGCTTCCCGAAGCCCCCCAGGGACGGTAGCACCGAGCCGTCGATGTGAGGCAGCAGCCGGGGCACCGGATGCTCTAGCGGGGTGAAGCCGTTCTCGGGCGGGTGGTCCTGCGCCTCCAGCCGGCCGGCTGCCATCACGGCCCGGCCACAAAGACAGCAGCTGAGCTCAACAGCGGGTGAAGCAAAGCCCCCGCTCTGCCGCCGTCCGCGCACTCTGCGTTAAGCCCTTTGACACAAATGAAGCCCTCCGCGCAGATAAATCCTGTGTATAGCCAACAAAAGCACGATCCAAAAATAGTAGGGTCTCCGATCCGTGCAGGCGTGCAGAGGCACCAAATCACCGAGCAGAGGTCCTCATGGCAAGGGGGCTTGAAGCGACCAGGGGATGTCCGAGTGGAGAAGCGGTGTCAGGACGAGAGGCTCCCGCAGAGGAGAGGGCTCGGACAGGCATGCATGCTCACCAGCACGGGCTTTGTATTCCATAAGTTCAGCTTCTAAAGTGGGATCCATCCATGTGCAGCTCAACTGGGCCAGGCCTGCTGGTTGTGTAGAAGTGGAATATGGAGCCACCCTTGGGTCCACTAAACATCTGCTGCTCCTTCTTCCATGAGCGCCACAGGTCTCATACCTGCCCAAACGGGGACCTCCTGGATGTGTACATCACTTAGTTCCTCAAGTGCAGAATATCCGAGCTCCAAGTCATCCCCGGTCCACTGTAACGGTGCTTAGTCCAGAGACACGGTGGACTACGCTGCTCGGTGTCTCGCCGTCTTGTCAATGGAAGAGGGTGCTGAAGAGGGGCTGGGAGAGGCAGGCAAGCCCCGCCCTCCCTCGGTCGCGCTATGCGCTCCGATTGGAGAGCTTTCAAAGGGCGACTGCACCACTGACGGGCATCTGCAGGCAACAATGATCCCCTTTGTGCAGCCTCTGCCAACTCCACTTAATATTAAGCTTGTTAGGATTCAGTCATTCACATCGACACAGGATGATTGAAGTCACATTTTAAAAGCAGGCATATTGCTGCGGAATTTTTTCACAAGGTGGTTCGTGGTAATGCGTTTGCTGACCGTCCCACTGAGGTTTTTTGTCATATTTTATTTCATAACCGTCATATAAATAGGCCTATTAGCTACTGGTTTGAGGAGACAGTCGGAGGGTGTCAGTTATTTTTGGATGTAGTGCCAACTGGTAGCCGCAAGGGGGCGTCAAACGATCATAATAGACCCCCTTGTAATTGTGTTTACCTTTATTATCAAATTACAGCATTAACCACACAGAACATAAACCATAGGCCACACAGATGTTTGTTGAAGGTGCAGAAAAGCAAGCAAGTGAGATAAAAATGTATTTAAACGGATATAAATATTGAGTGTAGTATTGGTGTTGTTGTGGCTGCAGCTGCTCCCAAAGGACTGAGGGAGAGTGACCTTGAGATGCAAGAGTGACACATGTTCCCCCTGCAGCCAAGTGTGTGTGTGCGCTGTGTGTTTGTTTTGTGCATGTCTGTGTGTGTTTACGTGATAACAGTTTAATCCCGATGCACCTGAATGACACATAGCTGGTTTAGGGGCTGACGGTGTAGCAGAGAGGTAAGTTTGTGCTCATCTCTCATCTCCTTCTTCATTGTCCTCTGAGATTAATTAGGGTTTGACATGTAGGAGGAACATGCTGTGTTCGTGTGTGTCATCTGTTACTATTTCAACCACACCCAATCTATTGCACATACCAGTGCTGGCTCAGGAACTCTTAGGGCTTCAAACAGAATGTGAGCCCCCTCCACACAAACAAAAACACAAAGTAAGTTAAATAAAAGCTAATTAAATTAGGCGTAAATAAACAGAATTGCACTGCTGGCAATCTTTCATTTTAATTAGTGAATGGTAATTGAACTAATACATCAAAAATGAACGATACAATTATTTATTGATGGTTAGTTACTTCACATAGCTGTCTAATTTTTCAAAATCTTGGAAAAAACATGCTTATTGGCTTTCTTTCCAATAGTTAGATGTGAAGATAAAGACATTTCCCGCTGATCATTTTATCCCCATTAGGAACATTTAAATGTAGGGTTTGGCACAAATTAACTGTTAATAGTCACTCATTAACTGTAGACTCTGCAGAGAGATAAATAAACTGTTGTCAATTAAGAATTAATTACAGCCTTAATCCTCAGCCAAGCTGAAATGGACCTAATGGTTTTAATATAGAGAAACAAGTGGAATCACACAAAGTTCTGGTAAGATGCATTCAACCATACTTTTGAAAACAGATAGGTAGCATATTATTACTGTGTGAGAACTCGCTACAATTGCCCAAAACAATTCCAGTAGGAGGAATGGGCTGCACTTTCAAAAACTATGCAAAACACATGCAGGTTAAGAAAATCTTCCCCAACTTGACAACACATGCGCAGCATTAACTAAAAGCGCTGCATAAGCAAAACGCTACAAAAAAATGCTGCATAATAAAGTGTTTTTACATTATTCATATTTGAAATAATTAAGTTACCTACATTAGCCAGCTAGCTTACAGTAGATCTGTAATAATATAGGAAGTAATCATGCGATCGCATGGTTAAAATTAGCCAATAAAACTGCCATTTTCGGTCTGTATCCTGTGACAGCTGGTGTGCATCACTTTTCAATGTCCTAATGTTGCAGCGTTTTATATTTGTAGCGTTTTGTTTATGCAGCAGTTTTAGTTAATGCTGCGCATGTGTTGTCAAGTTGGTAGAGTTCCTTCTTCATTTGCATGTGTTTTGGCAAATTAGAAAAAAAAATGTTACTCTAAAGTGTTTTGGGCTGTTGTAACTATTTTGCACCTGCCAGCCACCGTACAATAAACCCAGACAAGCAAAAAAGACCTCCATGGTCCTTTAACTCTTCTTAATAAAGTTACATTAGAGACAACCTGTGCTCCAATGACAGGCCTGGAGCGAAGCATTTCCTCTGTACACGATCAGGTGGAGCAGCATTGTTTATCTCCATGAGACCAGTGACCCAGATTGGTTCAGGTGTCATGTGACGCACTGACGACTGAAAGCCCCTCCCTCCCATTCACCCCCTCCCTGGCTCTGTCTCTGCACCCCCAGGAGGCATATCCATGTCACCCTGCTGCACAGGTACGCCACTGTCACAGGATCAGTGAGCTACAACAGCCTGTCTCCTGTCGACCGGCATCAAGAAGACAGCACTGCACAAAGTACACGCATATATTCTATATTTGTGAGATATTCTATAAAACAGCATGGTTGTATGT